ATTGGAAACAGGGAGGGCCTTTAACTGCATTTTACGTTATCATAATCATTAAAATATCGCAACATAAGGCTATAGGCAATTGTTAAAGAAATGGGACTGGCTGAGATTGCCTTGTCTTTAAGTAATTGAATACCCTGCAGATGCACAACCCACATGCCATCAGCGTTATTAGAAGAGCATAATAAAAGACACCAGATGGATCACCAACATGGACCGGACATGCCAACGCGGCACACGAAATGAAAACTGATGGTGCGAATATGTGGAGTAATGGAGCTCAAAGATACGGCCTCAGCACTGTAGGGGGCGCTAAAGGTCACTCGGCGCAGCAGGAAAGGAAAGATGGATGCTCCTCACACCATATTGTCATGACCTTTCTCCGATCAAAACCGCGGCTAAGTTTGGATCCAAGCTGACGTTAATTACCGAGGATTTAGGGTGTCCATCATGGATCCCAGTTTAGAAATGGTCAAAGGTTGAGGATGATGCAATCTCTGCAAATAAGTCAGAAAGTATTTTTAGTGACCTGAGTGTCAATAAGGATTTGTTCCAGCCAATACTGGTATCCAACACTACTGCTGTCACCCTTAACTGATATTTGCCAAGTTGCAGTAAAATTGTAGATCATTTTTTTTGTGGATTTTATTTTATTTTTTCCAGGGCAAAAAACAAAACAAAAAACCGTATCACCAATTTACAAAATGGAACCCTAAAACAAAAACAACAGATAACAAACTGACTTTCTGTCTCACCAAAACTCCACTCTGGTCTAGACAAGCTTTTGAAAGCACTCAAATATTGGATTGCTCGGAAAGGATAAAGTGAGTTAGGAATCATTTTGGACCAGTACAAACCATTTAGAAGAAACTAGTTCTGTCTTTCATGTTTTTAAGACAATAAAAGTCAGATACAAAAATAAATTTTAACCAGATTCCAGTGAGTTCCTCGTACACAACTAGACATCCTTCTAAGATCGCAGGTTTTCAGCTGGAATACCTACTTAAAAAACATTCAAAAACTACAAACCCTCACTTGGCTTCCTTTTTTTGTGGAGTTAAAACTGTTCAAATTTGGCTCAGTAGTGCAACAACTGGCTTCCACAGAAATAATGAGGTGGTCATCTGTTTAAGAAGTAGCCAAAATATATCCCCCAAATTTGACGGAAAGCGCGTGTAAAGGGACCCTGCAGCTTTGCATAATATCTACTGTATGTGGCCAGATGGCATTAAATCAGATTCATGCCACGAGGATGAGCAAGTACAAGTTACCCACATCAATTCTCACAAAGATCTTTCCATTCTTCCCCAGGCTATAGCAAAATCCAGTCTGGGAAGCCACCTCATTCGCATATATCAACATATTTTACGGAAACAAAACTTCTTCCTACCCCTACTGTGAACGTACAAGTATAAAACATTCAATTGGAAGTTGGGTTTTGTGGAAGTGAGCTATTGCTGAACCAGACTTTAACACTGTATTTTCAATAAATCATTGAATAACTAAGTAGGGTTTACATATGGTCAGAAAGTCCAGTCTTCCACCAGTTGCTCTCACATAGAGGTAGAACATTTGGAGATATGGAAAAAGCAAAAAATATATATAAAAAAAAAATATGCAGAGCGCTTTCCAAATAGCTATACCTTAGTGGTTCATTTTACAGTCCGTTCACAATTACCGGTGGTCACCCATCCAAAGACTAACCAGGTCCAGCCTCCCTTAGCTTCTGAGATCTGACCAGATGAAGCTCAACCAAAAAAAATTTAAAAATCCCCAAAAGACTACATCTAAACTATTAAAAAAAAAAAAAAAAAAAAAAAAAAGGAAGAAGGAAAGAAAGAAAGAAAGAAAGAAGAGAGAAAAGGAATTTCAATGATAAACTGGCCAAAATAAATCAACGTAATGTGTGTTTATGTTGCACTACCACATTACTTTTGTTTTATTTAACCAAATTTGTGTGGGTGTGTGGTCGGGGAAAATCGGTGCAGGCTTTTTTAAATTATTTATCATTTTGTATTTGTTGTGGGTGTTGCTGTATGTTTTTGTGTTTTGTTTTATGTTGATTATTGTAATTTGTTAAATGTTGATTATGTTATTTTGTTAAATGTTATATTCTGTTGTCCTTAATAAAAAAAACAACTATTTAATAAATGCAGTATTATAAATATTACCATAGTAAATAATAAAACTATATGTTCCTTTACTAGCTCATTACAACAGATGTCTTTGCTACACAGAATATCTTGCTAATTACTGTCATAAACACATAACAAGAGAAAAGAAAGCTTTCAAAAAATGGTTATAGATATCGAGGAGTTGTTTTTGCCAACTCTGAACGTCTTAAACACAGAAAGTAATTTGCATATAGGTAATACAGAGCAGTCCATGCGTGCCAATTCAGTCTTAAAAGCTGCATATAGCATGTTTCATTTACTAAATCCTCCTCAACCGCTGTGCAAAAACTGACTGTGCCTCTGCCTTATCCTGCCGCACAACCTCCTGTACATCCACATTTGAGAGTTTGAACGTTGCTTAAATGCCAAAGCTCCGCATGCTCTGGGCGATAAGGGAATTTTCCCCCTTAGTCATAACTTTAAGTGTGAAGAGGAGAAGGGAAAGAGAGAAGAAGAAGCAAGACCTGGAAAAAAAGGGTGTTGTTCCGTTTCTGGTCATTTAAAGTGCATAGAACTACTATATTAGAGTACTCTTTCACTAAAACACTTAACATATTATAATTTTACTTTCCGGTTAGACACGGGCAGCAGATTTGAGCAGGGCAAGAGGTAATTTGATAACTGTAACCTAGCAACTATAGTGTAACCAATACCAAGCCAATACTTGTTACACAATAGTTTTGATAAGAGTGATTATAATAAAAAAATATATATATATAACACATTTCTTTTGTTAATTGAAGGTTTAAACTGTTGTAACGTTGTATATTTCTTTACAACTTTCTTCCTACTAATTGCCACTTGACAGATGTAAAAATATGATCAAGATTTACGAAAACAAAAAAATAATTAGAAAACCATGGAAACCTATGCACCCGCTTGCACTATTAAAATCACATGTATTTAAACCTCGCAGCTTTTTCTAATGCTGTGCCATTCGTCTTCTTGTCCTTTTAACCCGAGGTACTGAAGTCAATTTACTACGACTTTGCAGAAATGAAATGAGAGGTGCCCTGTGGTGGCAATGTCGGTGACCTAACAGTATAGGCTAAACTCCACGAATCACATAAAGGAGAGCGATGGTTGCACATGGAGGGGATCTTCTCAGGGTTAAAAGTGCACAGTGTAATTTATCTAGTGGAGGGTTCGTCACCTGATTGTCTCCATGGAAATGTCGTGTTTTTTACCAAGTGATACTGCGTTTGTTTATCCATGCATATCCCACTCGGATCACGGATTAAACGTCAAGTCCACACTTCGTTTTATTATGTTTCATGTGTCCGACTTGGAGAAAAACATGGACGCTAAACAAAAAGCTGTTGTTGCTTTAACACTGGCCGAGTACCAGGCGCTCCAAGATAAGTATGTGCTTCAACTACACAACTTCGAGGAAGAAGAATTCAGTATAAATAGTATAATTCAGTATTAGTGAAGTGAAAGCGTTGGTGTCGTACGATAGTAGATCATTTTGGCATGTTAGCAACCAGGAAATGGGCTAAAAACATGTGCGACATCGACTACCAAACCCACAGGCAGTGATACGGACAAAGTGAGGTATTGCAGTAATACAAACTCAGTAAGGTAGTTCAGTAATACGAGTAGGGCTGGGTATCATTAAGAAGCTGCTGATGCGATACATACCTCCATACAAAGGCCATGATACGATACATATCTCGATACAGTGCACTTTCGGTTTGATATGATGTCAAATCAATTTGATTCGGTTCAATAAAAAAATAATGGCTAAATCGTGGCTGTGGTACTAAAAGTCTTTGTTAAACCACTTCTTGTGCAAAGTTCATATGAAACACGCCGATTTTAATCATCAAAACAGTGAAAATGTCAAATGTGTTGCATAAACAAGTGTCTTTCCACTGAAGCAACAAAACTGTAGCGCTGTAACAAAATAATTTAGTAAAATATATCAAAAAATACTCTCGGTGATATATCGATATAGCAGTCCCTGATATCGATACTGTATCATCACATTAAAGGAGGCAGTTCCGAGGTTGAGCTGCTCGAGGAAATGGGGCGTGTCAGTGTGGGTCGCTAGGCAACGTCCTCGGACCTCCAAGTCAGATAGATAAACGAACGCGCCATAAGTACAGAACATTAATTTGAGTTTTATTGTAACACAATCTGACCAGAAAGAGGTGACTTAGCAGGAACTACAGGTGAGCTAATTCGTGCTGTTAAACAAGTCTCTCTCAAATAACATTACAATTACAAGCTAACTAGAATTATCCAACAGATTTTCACTTAGTCACTCTCACCTTTTTGTTGAAAATCAAACACCTAAGTAGGACTTTGAACACTTGCATTGATCACAGGCTCCTGAAAATGTGTTGTTTGAATCTATTTTGTATTTTTCATGTGTTGCACCAGGGATACTTGTAGAACACCCCCAGCGAGACGTCACTGCAAAGCATCAATTGAATCCATAATTTTTGCCGCTTGGTTGGTTCTTGTTTAGAACTAATGTAGCAAAAGTGTATTCTGGATTTAGCCTGAATTTAGATTTTAATAGTTCCGTTTTAGACCTGGTTTAGATACGGTGGCACTCAGGTAGTACATGGTGAGAAAGGTTTGAGAATCACTGGTCTACAGTATGGAATTACACTTATCCATCCTCATGAAGACAAGCAGATGAGGAAACAAGATCACATTACAGGTCAGAGCTGTGGAAATGCAACCCCTGCTCACTATAAGAATGCCTGTTTATTCAAGGTAGTTTTAAATTGTTTTAATGTCATGCTGTCAAAGTTGCTGACCCCAAAATACACCAAAAAAAGTTACCTAGTCCCTCCTTAAAGATGGCGGGGCACTTACCATCACTGGACTGCAGAGCCTTCAGTGTTTGCTCAGCCTCGTTCTTCTTCCTCCTGTGTTCTTCTAATTTGATCTGGAGGTCTTCTGCTACCTGCTGCAGATCCCGGAGTTGTGCCTGGAATACACCAGAGTAAATATGTTTTTTATTTTATCACAGTTTTGCATTGGTTAAATATGGAACTCAGATGGTTACTTTTTTTTTTCCTAGTTCAGTACAGTAAAGACGGGTTTTGTATATATAGTCTGTACAGCAATTTTGTACACATCTGTTAAGCATATAGTGTCCATTCACACAATCACCAAATCAAAACTGGAACTAAAACCAGGACTAAACCAAGACCAGACCACAATTTAACTGGGATTAAACCTGGAACTAAATCAGGACTAAACCAAGACTGGACAAGGACAAAACCAGGACTAGAACAGAACAGAAACTTAAACTCTGTGAAACTAGCAAAAGTATTACCAAGGCATTAATCCTGCAATAATACTGTTAAAGAGCCACTAAACCCCCTCCCGAAGCTTTACTCCGCCCCTAAGTAAAATGTGGAAAATCCTTCAGAGTGGGCAGTGCCCGGCGGGTTTGGGGGAGCGGGTGTGGGACGGGCACTGGAGCGATGATTGACAGCCGACTGACAGCCACAACAATCCAACATGTGCTCTCCAGACTTTGAAAGAGAGCGAACATTTGTGCTCGGATCACGCCGTTTCCCTTTTCTCCAGACATGGCGGGACATCGCAGTGACCGGCGGTGCCAGGTAGGGTCGGGGCTGAAAGGGGCTCCTCACGTAACCCAAAAAATTTAAATGTACTGGCCGTAGCTGATCCTAAAGAGACCATTACAGATACGCCTTTGACCCAAAAGTCAGATTTTTTTTTGAACAAATATGCAATAAAATGGCAAAATAAGACCAGGGATAGGTATACATTTCTATTTTAAACCCATGTACGCAGCTAATCAGTAGAATAAAACGTGATTTTGGTGTTTAGTGTCCCTTTAATGATACAATGGACTGCGTAGAATCAAATGTAATTGCATTAATATTCCAATACATTTCCATTCTTTTTGGACACTGAAACAATGTTTACGTGCTATGAAGTGCCTCGCCCAAGGACACAACAGCACTGCACAGTTCTGAGCTACGACAGAACCACCACTGCTGCAGTGTTTAGATAACTATAGTACATTGAATTCTGCAAATACTACATTCAAATGAAGAAATAGAGAAGAGAAGAGACAGTGGCAGTTGTGTGTCGTGAGGTTCATTTGATACAAAAGCATATTTTCCATGAATCTACAAACTTCCTGTAAGTAGTTAAGATAATATAAGACCACAGATTATGCCAATAGGTATAATACAAAACTATGTACTTCTATAGGATTATTGGAAGTGATGTGTATATTGCACTGAGCAGCACTTCCCTTGTTGAGACCACCCACAATGACCACTTTGTTGTTTCTTATATAGACCCTATGTGGACCGTATCTAGAGCAATCAAAGTCACCTGTCACTCACACTGACAAATATTGATAAATTATATGTAATCTTCCAAGAATTCAGATACAAAAAGACAAGCGGTTCTCTCTCTCTATCTCTCTCTCTGTCACTCCTTTCAAATCATTTTTTCTTCCACATTATTATTCCAAAAGGCAAACGCACTTATAAAAAGAAAAGAAGAGCACAATATAATATTTAAATCACGCCGAGACGTTGTCATAGCAAAAACGGAAGCTTTTGACAGGCGACCATAAACTATCATCGCTCTCAGTAATAGACCAATTAATATGAAAGTGCTGCTGTCTCTTTCATGAGCGAGTATGCGCGACATTGTGGGGCTAAAATCTGAATACACTCAAATTAAGGGGACCTGGCTCTCCTGTGGGGACAGAAATCAGGTTTCCGTGACGTAAATCCTTTATTATTAGATCAAAAGTACGAAGATGTTGAAGTTCAGATTTGGATTAAAATAGGCCATGGTTGGAGTTTAGGCTAAAAGAACTTGATGTAACATTTCTGCTTGTCTCCATTGCTTTTATACATATGTATTAAAGCTGTGCAATTAATCGAATTTTGATTGTGATTTCGATTTGTGTATCAAACGATCTCCAAACTCATACAATCGAGTTGAAAGGATTTAGTGTATTTAAGTTAATTTATTTTATTTTTTAGATGTAGAGATTGTAGAACAGCTGGATATATAGTTTATTTTGGATATATTTATGTTTTTCTATGCCTTATTTCATGTTCAAAGTATGTTTAATTGATTTTTATGTTTTATACATCGCAAAACTGCTCTAAGGTTCATATTTGTAGCCTATACTTATTTTCAATTTGAAAGTTTTGCATAAATTATCAATAACAAAGTGTTTTTTGTGAGAGAGAAATGCTGAATAAATGCATCATGTAACTAAAAAATTACCGTTTGAATAATCGTGATTTCAATATTGACCAAAATAATCGTGATAATGATTTTTTCCATGATCGAGCAGCCCTAATATGTGTAATGTTCCAAATAAGGCATTAAACTTGTACAGATATTTTCAGACATTGTAAGTAGGCACAGTGAGCAGGACAACCTTTCCACAGATCTGACCTGTAATCTGCCCTGGAGATGTCAGCTGTTTGTGTCAATGGATAAAAGTGTTTAATGCCATACTGTGGAACATTCCAGGCAAAACAATAACATCTCTATGAGGGTAACAGTTAGAGTATACTTAAGATCAGTCTCCAGAAATGTATGCAAGTCAATGTAATTTCCTCAAAAATGTGTATGTATATGCAAAAATCGTTTAATGTGATGATACTGTATCGATAAATCGCCAAGACAATTTTTTGGTATATTTTACTAAATTATTTTGTTACAGTGCCACAGTTTTGTTGCTTGTTTAGTAGAAAGAAACTCCTTTATGTAACACATTTGACATATTCACTGTTTTGATGATTAAAATTTGAGTGTTTCGCATTAACTTTGCACAGGAAGTGGCTTAACAAAGATTTGTAGTAGCACAGCCATCATTTTTTATTGAACCATATCAAATTGATTAGAAATATATCTTATCAAACCAAAACTGCACTGTATCGAGATATGTATCGTATCGTGGCCTATGTATCGAGGTATGTATCAACTTCTTAATGATACCCAGCCCTTGTGTATACGTATATATGCGTGAGTGCATAGTTGCCTGTGTATGTGTATAAGTATGTGTGTGTGTATACATGCGTGTGCTGGTGGCCCCTCCCTCCTGTGAGACTGTGGAGCAGCAGAGATGGATTCTGCTCGGTTCCGATAGGGATGGCTACCTTTCTGGGGCACGCCGCGCGCTTAGGCACCTCCAGCGCACCAGTGATTTATGGACTCCATTTTGAAGAGGAACAAGATGCTGTTTATGTCAACTAACTTCTGCCACCTCCACGGCAGAAACAACAATAAATGCTTGGGTAAAGTATTTTTGGGGAGCGATAAGAGTCAGGATTCACAATTGTGTGTCAGAATTCCTCTCTGAGTGAATTATACATCAGTCTGGTATATCATTATGACCACCTGGCTATTCCTGGTACAATGTAGGGTTATAAAATAAATTGATACTCAGATACTAACTGATACAAAATACCAGATACTCGTTTGACTATACACCTATATGGTAATATTAAAGAAAGCATTATTAGGTAATTATTTATTTTGCGTTGAAAATTCTATTATATTGAAAAAAGTGTTATGTACGTAGAAGTGAAGTTTAAAAATATATTAATGTGACAATCCTCAGAGAATGGGACTTGGACTCGAGTCAGACTTGAGTCACTATTTTCAAGACTTGAGACTTGATTGGACAAAATAGACCAAGACTTGGGACTCAGCTTGGACTTGAAGCTCGATGACTTGGACTTGACTTGGACTTGAGCTTGAGAAGAACTTGAGAAGACTTTCTATTCTGATTGTAATGATGCGCACAAAGATCTTGACAAGACATTTAAAAAGGAAAATTTGCATTTCTACAGGTCTTATATAAATACTCGTATATAAATATAAAGACTTTAAGTACTGTTTAGCTTAAAATTCATATAAATTACAAAAATCAAAGATATATTTGGTACTTTGGATTAAAGACTTGAAATGACTTGAAGCTCAAAGTAGACGACTTGGCCTTAACTTGGACTTATGGGCCAGTGACTCGAGACTCGACTTGGACCTGCATGTATTTGACTTGGGAGTTGACTCGAGACTTACTTGAGACTTGCAAAACAATGACTTGGTCCCACTTCTAACAATCCTACAAGGCGAGGTGTTATGGTCAATTCTCCAATATTAAGCTTCATAAACCATACCACAAACATCAACTCATCTGAATGGTTCTGGTGGAGTCACCTGCTTATCTCCATGGTAACAGATAAGCTTATGTCATATGGTGGAACATTCTAGGCAAAGTAACTCACCACTCAGCCGTTCCATCAACATGTACCATCGCAGTTGTTGCTTTACTTTTGTTTAATCCGTAGCCTACATGTGATCATTGTAACATGCTGTTTTGGCACACCTGCTAAATACTTTGTACTTCTGTGGGACTATTCTTTAAAGAGGAGGTATTACGCATTTTTTTAAGTGTTGTACCATGTTATAAAGTTTGTTCTCTCATCAAAAACACGCCTGAAGAGGTTTTAGACATTATCCATGCAACCTTCCTTACAAGCCTATGTCATCCATCCACCCACACGACAATTCTCCATAAATAGACCAAAAAAAAAGCATGATACAAAAGTGTACACAACACCTTGACAAACCTGATGCTGCGTGCAGTAGTTTCACCAGCGGAACGCACACTGAATGTGTTGATAGCACTCTGAAGGGGGCGTGACTTAGCGCAGGGAGAGTAAAGGGAGGTGAGACTCAGAGCAACAAATATGAAAACGCTAAACTCATAAAATATGTTTATACGTTGTTTTTGAAGAATACAGCATTTTTCAAAACAATAAAAAGTAAAACGATGACCTAAATAATTTGTGCGTTAGTAGTTAATACCCCACAGAAGTAAAATCCCCCCTCTTCAGTATTGAAAGCTGTTATTTTGTAGGTGTGCGTTCAGTAAATAATAGTGTAAAGGATTGCAATTAGACAAAC